ATATGTCTTCACAAGCCATAAAGGGGATTAGGTGTGATKTGCTATTGTAATGTTGCCTCTAGTGTAATCATTTCCTTTGGAGGAAAGTGAGCAGAGCGTTAAAATACAGTCTAATGACCCAAGCAACATATTTCCTTCTGCTATTAGTTTAGATCCAGCTACTCTGCGTAAGTTACATATGTGATTCATTAGATTTCACCCAAGTCAAAAGTTAACATTGTAACACTTGTTTTAAAAGATAAAATAYGCAATCCCATAGGAAGCAGGCTACTATAGGAGACAGCTGGAAACATTCCCTGGACAGATGCATCGCTTATATTCAGATTTATCAATAAAAACACACAAGTATTAACAACATTCATCCTTCTTAACCACTTGGAACAGGGAGTGCTGAGTGTTCTGCAGAGAAAAACTGGTTTCTACCTACCGAGGTTAAAGGATTAATGAATACTTCGCACATGAAAAATGAATAGTGATAGCAAGAAGAAGATTGCATGTAGACAGTGTGATAAGGTGTGTAACAGAGAAACATCACATTACACACATTGCTGTGCCCTGAGAAAAAGACAGAGCTCATTTCCATTGAATTTCAGATATAATATTTTAAAACATCAATATTTATTTTGTCATATTTAGAAATATTTTACTCATTTATCTAATATATCTAAAGAAATCATCTAGAAGAGGGGTTGGCTGACTGACATTGGGTGATAAAATTTGTTCTTCRTGAGCTTCATTATGTGCTATGTTGGCTGTTGACATGGTCTATTGCCTGCTACTAAAAACTATTACCCATATACATGAATTTGCAGGGCAGTATCTAAAGCAAAAAAATATGTGGCTACATCTGTAAGAGGAATGTATTACATGATTATATATCAATAGATTGATACAGAAGTAGGGATATTGCACATTAGTATTTGATATATAACACAGATTTATAGAGAAATGTAGTTCTCAATCATATGCTTTTATGGAAAACCTGTCCTMCTAAATCACCATCTTGGCTCACTCCATACACCTGACCCCTCTGTTTCCAGTCTCATTGAGCTTAACAAAGCTGAGCATACATTGTCTGTTTGAAAATGTTCTGGCTTACATTTTAACACGGGAATACTTAGAAAACATTTAGCATTTCTCAAGATTTAGAAAGTTACCTTGTTTCTGTTTTTCGCCTTGAAAGAAGAAACTTTTATTATATTCCCTAAGGATCAATGGGACTTTTCAGCATGCCATTTTTTCAGAAACACAGTCCTAAATTTTGAAATKGGAACCTTAACAGTGTATTGCCATATATTATCCTAAAATTAGAAAATCATGCTTTTGAAGACAGGAGAACAAGTTATCCCACTGGCCACTTTTGATTGTTTTTTCTAAAGCTCGACAAGTGTGTTTATATGTGATTTTAGACCTTTTTGTAGCCCTTCTTCTCCAATTCTGCCCTATTACCTACAGAGCAATTCTACTGAATCACTTTTATTGAGTCCCACTGCTTACAGTATCARATGGCTCTTTCCGTTCTTCCTGTAGCTGTTCTTCCCCTAATGGAGTTTCCTAAAACTTAGCAAAAACCAAGGTACTATAAAGTCTCCCCTTCATGTTCCTCAGCCCTTATCTCTCCTGTATTTGTCCTCCACTGATATGAATTTTTTTTCATTATCTTATTTGTTTTATAATTCTTAGATCCTAATCCATGTGCAATACTCTTCATAGCAATTTAGCAGTTTAGCAACTTCTGCCTTTAACTTAATTATGCATTAATATTATTTTTTTATTAATAACCAATCATTTTTCAAAATGGGGAATGGCACCACCAGCAGAGAGCATACTGRAACCTCAGAACAAAAGAAAACAGAAAATCGATAACATATTTTAACAATGTGTGCCTGAAACACATAAAAATACATCTGAAATACATCAGTAATTTTCTGAATATTGAGAGATTTTGTAATTTACATTTATACCAGTTATAAAAAAAAAATCAAGTAAGTTACCTGTTCTTTATTCCATTTTGGATTGTATTCAATTTTCTAATTCAAATAAANCCCTCAACCTTACTACCTAAACCAAAACCTCAATGCATTTTTATTTGGGATGCATGGTTAGACAAAAGCTTTAACAAATTACATGATGCATTTTAGAAGACAGATTGTGTTCATTTGCTGAACTTAGAGAAACCTTTGGGTTGACAGATAATCAATTCAAATACCTACAGTTGAGGGATTGTATTACTAATTCCTTTCACAAGGTTTCCCTTTTGGATACAGGCAAATAAACATGTTTTCTTTGCCGAGGAATTGACCACATCAGCTACAGCCTTTCAGGTATGGTTGCTGTCTTGCAATCCAGCCTGTGACCATCTGCCAAATGCTTCCTCCACTCTTTCTCCATTCAAACTCMTGTTAAGCTCAAGATGAATATGTGGACCTTGCCCCTTTGACAGCTGCCATCAAGCACGAGAGTACAGACTCTTTTGGGCCAGAACATCAACTTCTGTTTCTTTGAATCTGCTTATGAAGTATTACAACATTCATGGCACTCTGCCATCAAATACTGAGCTTTATAGTCAACTCCTAGGTGGCCATTRACCACCTAGGTTAAAACAGTCAATCTAAAATGTGGAAGTTGTATTTCATGGGACTCACTCAAACATCAGCAGTTCTATTCTTTGGRTATGAACATTGGAGTTTTTGGACACTTTATTTGTTGGGTTTTTTTATTTAATATAAACTAATTATTTGTTCTTAAGTATCAGAAAATCTTCCCTTCATCCCACTCTCATTAAACTCCCAAAAAATACACATCCCAGCTCAGTGCATTAATGGCAGTGTTAGTGTACACAATGCAGCCTCTGTGATGCAATGGGRTATATAATGGAGAGTAAA